TCTCGAGTGGACTCAATCTAACAGCTACACGTTGATCAGTAGATAGACCATACAAGTATGCATATCCATATCCCCCAACATCAATGCAATCAAATGGAATCCATTCCAAATAGGCATCATTTGGTGAGTTTGTTTGTAATTGAGATTTCTTAATAAACTCATCGAGTTGCTTATTGTTGCTAGTCCATCCATTGGATAATTGTTTATATCCACAAATGCACCACACAGGACTACATCGGAGTATTCCACACACAGGGCAGAATCCATGGCGGGAATAACAGTGGTAGAAGCGTTCATAAACAACTATGTAATAGTTGTTATCGTATTTGGTAAAACCCTTTATTAGTTTGTTGCGTCTCTCAAGCCATGTCTTATATCGTCTATAATGACTGACATCATTATTGTACTTGTGTGTTGGAAGTGAGTATATTCTGGCAAACTCATTCACAAGTGTTTGTGTACATTCTTCACTACTTTCAAGGAATACCAGTATTATCTTGCTATAGTAATAGTAGCGACCAGCATAGCAGACGTTGTCGTTGTCAAGTTGAATTGGCTCTATGTTGGTAATTTGCGAGCAATGAATCCATTCAAGTCTCAAGTCTTCATTTTCACTTTGTGAGGAGGATTGAACCAAGTTGTTAATTGCTGGATTATGCATATCCTTAACCGCTGGAAAGCATTCTCAGCATTTTATCGTGCTACATCGCACAACCCTTTATGTAACCCGTTATACATTGTTCCGGCTTCACATACATAGTGGCTCTCGTTAAACCGAAGCCGTTCGTGCGAGACACGAAAATAGACGACACACATATTCAATTATGTCAACTCCTACAGAGGACATCAGCTCTTTGCCAGGTGAAGGGCTGAAAATATACAGTACTGCCAACCATTGACCTTCTATTTTCTTCCACTTACTAAAAATATACGGCTTGTTGAAGTAGCAGCATAAACAAACCTATTATTCATGTTCATACAGTAACAATATTAAGTTATTTTTTTCGCTCTCGGAATTTGAGCTAAAATGTGATTACTGGAGGGAAAATTGACATATTACATTCCCTGTTCCCGTCTAATAATGGAAATGTGAACAAAAAAATTGGGAACTGTCGTGTCAACAACTGCGGGATACCAGACAATCGTCGGCACTAGGAACTTGTCTACTTTCGTACGGAGCGTGGTTTCTCCTACTAATATTTAAATCTCGGTTTACAGTTAGTAACCTTTGTGACACTTATCCTAGATAATTAATTGTCCTCACGGTTCTTATTGTGGGATAATATAAACAATTAATTACATACGTATCGTATTTTCCATGGGAAAATTGCGGAACAAGAGGCGATTATTCTTAATCACTTCTATACCGATAGTTTACCAGGGAATGAATCATTAATGAATATAAAAAACTACTTTATTAAAATATTTATAATAATAAAAGAATCGAGAGAATTAGAACACTTTGGACATTATAAACACACTGAACACTATGAACACGCTCGGAAATTTAGAAAACAATGAAACGCGTTGCTTTATGTCTTTCGAAAGGACTAATTTATCTATTTTTAGCAATAATTATTTTACTATATTGTTATCAGTATACGCTGCGCTTGCTACACTACTACAGCACTTATCGCGGCGCAGCATGCTGCACTTTCCGCCGTGGTGTCGACCGATAGTTAATTAGCACTAGTCTCCACAGAACAAAACCAATATTTCTAACATGTTGCCCAATTAGTGCAATACAGTTAGCGTTAATTGCATACAAGAGGAGTGATATGTATAATGTTTTAAAATTGCAATAGACACTCATCAAATATTAATGGTATGCAATGAAAGTTCATATTCCGGGTATTATATTGGTAGCAACTTGGTAAATAATCGTTAATAAGTGATAAGCATGGAAAGAGGTCATACTTTTTGTTTATTATACCCTGAAGTTTTTTTCAACCAGTTTGTTTAATATGGGGGCATACTGCAACAAAAACCAGACAAGATGAACATAACATCACAGAAGACTTTCAGGGTTCAAAACTGCTGGACACCACAGATTGGTTTTACCCTTTTTTCTTTAACTCAATTAATCAGTTTGACTAAGTCACTCTCTTTCTTTAAGTGCAAAAATTAAATCAAGTTGATTAGCAACGACCAAAAACCGTAGCAGTACTTAAAATTTTTGGCTGAGCAGTTCTGTATACTAAGCTTAAAGGGCAATGCAGCAAAAGCAGCAAGCGCGTATTATTTTTATGTCACCTGATAAATAAATGCGCAGTAGCATTAATATACGCATTTCATAAATGATTATGTGGAGAAAACAGAAAAGTTAAATAAAAGCTATGAAAGCAATAAAAAATTATACACGATTACCCATATATGAAAAGTAGTGAACATCATGCTTCCACCGAATATGAAAAGGCAATACGTTTTTTGAAGACAGGTTGTTGCTCGAAAACGATAAAGTTTGCCAAATTACGCGAGGCGTTTTAAGCTCTCTTTGAACAAGATATATTTTAATAGTGCAACTCAAATTAATGGATGGTAGAGAAATAAGTACCAGCAGACGTCTTAAAAACAAAACGCGTACTAATAAACGGACGTTTTACTACTGAGATCGTAATACGCCTCTTTATCTGAAAACGTATCTCATTATGTTAAAAATGGTGCATTCCCGGTAACATGAACGAATGCCATGATATAACAATCGACATAACCGTTGCTACAGCTGTGAAGAATTTTCTCGTAAACTATGCTGAAATTCATAGACTGACTATCCAGTAGAAACTCCAACAGAATTTTATACTCTTGCCAGCCAAAACGAGTTACAAATCGGGTCTATCTTGATTTATTGCAGGTCTCGAAAACGATAGCGCGTTTTTAATATTTTATGTAGAACAATGAGTGTTATTATAAGTATAAACATATTGATTTGTGTCTTAAATAAACTCGTAAAGGCCCGTAAATAAACTGTAAGTTACAAAAAAATTTGAGTCACTAAATTAAAAACAACGGACATTATTAATATCCACGTAAAGGCATTCGCTACAATATCATATATAATACCATTTAGATTATCATTTCGACTTTAAAAGTAATTTCCATATCCTACTTACTGAAAGTCGGAAGGTTGAGATTTTAAAATTTAGCTTATCAAAATGAGTAATTGATATTGTGCGCATCGATATGGGAATTCAATTTCGAGTGCAGATACCAGAATTAATTTTAACGTGCTGACATAAGTTCGTAATACAGGCCGAAATCGGGAATTCCACACGGATTGCAAAATTCCATAGCATTAATAACAAATAGCACGACGCTTATTATTTATTGTATTACCAAACCGCTTTCTGTTACCAGACTTTGCAAGACGTAAAAACAATCTTTACGATGAAGTGGTTTGAGCCAAGATCTTTTCACACGTGACAAGATCCGTTATATCAATTGCGTCACTCAATTCGCAAAACACTGCCCCTGAAAATTTTAACTCAGACTAGACTCATACAATGCATTGTATTAGGCGTCAATCAATTTGATTTGATTGGATACAGGTTATTGCATGACAATAGGAATGTTACTATTATCTTTTATCTACATCTTTATCAAGTGTCAAATATTAACAATATTAATTCAATTAAAAGCATACATTAATATGCTTTCTTCTTCATATTAGTCATTCTCGTCATGCTGTAATCTATCTTGAGTAATTCCCATTCCGTGCGATTGATTCCCTTGCATGCCATCGTACTCGTACTGTGACTTTATACCGACAAGCCATAGGCATGATAGCCCAGTCTCAAATAAGCAAAGACAACATCTCGAATAGACAGTAATACCTCCGTAAAAGGCAGATTTGCACAGCCACGAACACCAATCATAGCTCTCCATCCACGCAGCGAAACAACAAATACAGCGCAGTCGATTATATACAAAGTGGGGATGGCACATACATGTGTACTAAATAATATACGCCATATACTTTATATTATATACTGTGCATACTTCGATGTTACCTTCCATACTTCCAGTATATGTCAAATCATGCTCTATATGCGCCATTAGCCATTATCCCAAATTCACCATAACACACATTCATCTGTACTTATCTCCACATTCATCTCTCATCTACACCATTGTCGCGTTCAACAAATGTATTAATTTAGTCAACACCTGCACACTCCCAATTCTACCCAACTACTCTGCCCTATCAAAACTATTCCCCCCGTCGAACCTCATTGCTCAATTCATCCAATCCCCTCTTTACTACGCACATCACATCACCACCCCTTTTCATACATATCAACTTCTTTCTGCACCCGTCGGTAGAAAAAAAATTTGTTAGTTTCTCAAAGAACAAAAAGCCTCCCCTCCAATATCACAAACCTTCCCACCACATACTCGAAAGAAGTTCACAATGGCCAACACTAACACAAATGTTACCGGAGTACGTATGATATCGCGTTCTTTTTTTATTCTTTTGCTAACTTGCTATCCAAAGAGGACTGCAAAAGAGAGTTAGCGTAGAGAATGCCGCGCGCGAGAGAGAGGGAGAAGAAAAGGGTTGGGAGTTTATTGTAGTTAGGTGATCGAAAAGAAATAAATATACAAGTAGTAAGACCTTGATTGCGAGAGTTGGCGGCTATGATTGAATGTCATCTTTACAACATTCAAAACGTATAGGCAGAATGTCAACTAACTCCCCTTTACTATATATTTCACTACTACTATATCTATACGTAAACAGGAACGCGAGAACCAGGTATTTCTCATTGGCTCGTAGCTATTTAAACAACAAGGTTTAAGTTTCAGAGTGTGTATCTGATTCATGCTTGTCACTTTTTAAGGTTTACATGGCCAAGCTCGCGGAGCAAGCTGAACGTTATGATGGTAATCATTTTATTCTTTTAGTTATTTATGTGATGTTTGCTACTATCACTTGGAATGAGTACTAAACTGTATACCCAAATAAACCTACTTTGCTATGCATATTCGCATTGGTTACAGAAATGGTTCAATACATGAAGGTGCGTGTTATAATTTTAAAATAAGACTTCTTTCACGTGGTTCATAATTCAAACGAACAATCACTCATAATATTGGTCAACTCTCCCCTTCTTATTTATATACAAAATAGGACGTTGCGAAGGTAATGAAGACCGCGCGGTAAACTGCATACAATCAAAGTGTAGAGACAATCCGCTGATCAAATCGATCAAGTCTATCAAATCACCCCATAAAATTGCGTCATTCCCGAAAATCGCTTGTTTCTTCATATTCGTCCACGTTTCTTTTTTTCTTTTTCTTTTCTTTTTCTTTTCTTTTCTTTTCTTTTTTCTTTTTTTTTTGTTTCTCCCTCATTATAACCTGCCGTCTTTTTATTTAGCTCGGTGTAGAACTCACAGTAGAGGAACGTAACCTTCTTTCTGTTGCCTATAAAAACGTCATCGGTGCACGTCGTGCCTCATGGAGGATCATCTCCTCGATCGAACAGAAAGAAGAGAATAAGGGTAATGAAGCCCAAGTGGGAAAGATTAAGGAGTATCGTCAGAAGGTTGAACAGGAATTATCGGCAGTTTGCTCGGATATTCTTTCGGTTTTGGATGAACATTTGATCCGTTCTGCTGAGGCTGGAGAATCAAAAGTGTTTTATTATAAGATGTGAGTTTGAGATGGAGTTGAAAAGTATTACTGTGCCCCGATTTTGTAGGCGTAGCCTGTCATTAAGAGTTGTAGGGAAAAAAGAGAGGGTGGGTGGGGTAAAAAAGTTTTTAGACCAATAGTTGAGAAAAACGCAGTCACTATTATATAGTACAATAATACAAGAAATATAAGACTTATTGTTTCATTATCTTATTCGAACGACAACGACTATACTAATAATATAGGAAAGGCGACTACCACCGGTACTTGGCTGAATTTGCTTCAGGTGAAAGTCGAGAAGAAGCTGCAACTCTAGCGCATCGAGCTTACAAACACGCAACCGAGATTGCGCAGACCGATCTCGCTCCCACTCACCCTATCCGCCTCGGCTTAGCGCTGAACTTTTCTGTCTTTTATTACGAAATTCTCAACTCGCCCGACCGTGCTTGCCATCTGGCCAAGCAAGCGTTTGATGACGCTATTGCGGAATTGGATACGTTAAGTGAGGAGTCTTACAAGGATAGTACATTGATTATGCAGCTCTTGAGGGACAATTTGACGCTCTGGACTTCAGATCTGCCAGAAGGTAAGCTTTGGGCAAAGAAGATGGGAGAAGCAAAAAAGCGGCAAGGGACACAGATGGATTATGATATTGGATAGGTGATTCTCTGACTGTTTCGACTCGCCATTAATATTTACATGTCTTTTTGTTCTATTTAGCAGCAGAAGGAGAGAAAACTGAGGAACCTAGACAAGATAATGAGCCTGAGGAGAATAATTAGACAATCGCCATGGTACTTTATCTATTTAATCTATATTTATATAAATATTTCTTACTTGTCTGCCCGTTTTATTTAAACTATGTTGATTGGGATAATTCTTATGTATTAGGAAATCCCCTTGATTCCAAGAGAACTCATCTGAGTTTGTGGTGTGCGTAGGTTATTAGAAACAACTAAGAATGGTCCAAGATGGTGTTTGTTATTATAAGTGGTGGCTTTTTGGGAGTTTATATATAAACAACATTTCTTCCGTTTTATAATTGCCTTTTCGAGCTTGATTTTTTTATATAAAGCACAAAGGAAACAGAAACTTGGTCCATTGTAGTTGATCAGTGGTATGGGAGAGTGGGGAGGGGATTGGGAGATGGTTGTGAGAGAAATGGATGGCTTACATTACAGAAGACGGAATGAGGGTCATTGATTATCGATTATTTACGTGACCTGTTGAATAACGAATTATCTGTCTCTGGTCATAAACAACTGCTGTCAATTACGATGCTACACACCTTTTTTCTATACTGCAGTAAGATCGTTATATCGGATACGTGTCAGTAGACCTTTTGTTTAAACGACTGTCTGGGGTCATTGCATCTAATAAAAGGCCTTTTATTCTTTCATACTTGGAGAACACTAGTAATCCTATTTGTTTTAGTATTTTTTTGTTCGACCTTCTTCGTGGTTCTCGTTTTATATTCTCTGCTTCATATCATCAGATATAACAAATGGGAAATTCATATCTGAATACATCATATGGATTATGCAGTTCCAGATTCCAGATTCCAGATTCAGCTTGAGAATACTAACTAACACGGTTACATGAAAAGAGACCATCACCATCCGTACATGTATTATAAACTCAATGCGAAGGGATGTAATCACTATGTTCCAGTTAAGATTTATTTCGCATAAGAAGTAAGAGTAAAAGGAAAAAGTAAAAAGAAAAAGAAAAAAAAGCATGCGAAACTTTTGTTTGGTAATTATATCCCGTCACTGATTATATTCGACATGATTAATCCATGATAACAACATCCATCTTCGATCGAGATGACAGCTAATGTGGGTAACGTTATTGTGTTGCAATCGTTTTATGAGAATATAGAAACAAGTATAACTACGAACATATTCCGTATACATTTATAAGCAGAAAAGTATTTATGACGTATATGATGGTGTTTTACATCGTGAGTACTGTACTGATACCATGCGTGATGTTGGTTTAACTATTTTTGGTTCTATTGAAGAGGAGGATGGGGAGAGAGAAGAGAGGAGAGAGGGGAGAGAGGGGAGAGAAGAGAGAAGAGAGAGAACAAGAGTCAGTGATATGATGTTTATACATGGATAATTCAATTCATCTGGCTTGTCGGATGTATATATATACCTTGGGATTGTCAGGATGATCCTTCCATCTCTCAGCGACAAGTTTAAATGCGGCTTTGTGTTCAAGATTTGGATTTTCAGCTTTGACTTTGGGAAGTTCGGATTTCATGAAGGCATTGTACGGCGATAACTTTCTCTTTCCCCCGGTTTTAGGAGCGAAAAGGGTAGGGGGGGAAGAAGGAAAAAAGAATATCCATGTTAGACGATTACTGTGTATAATAAATCCTACGAAATTATATATACTATATAGTAACGATACTATTATATGTCTACTAAAAAAAAAAAAATTTCTATAAACTTGGTCGTTCTTTCTTCTCATATGACGCTTATATTCTCTATATCCGTTATATGAATGACGTGGGCCAACCATATTTCTTCTGTATCTCTCATATACTTGTCCAAAATATATAGTTCTATATAGTTCTATATAGTCATATAAGACATTATGTACAGTCGCGCTCTATGCCCACTCTCTAACGAATGTTTCGAGTCCATAATCTAACACCATAATAACGTGTACATCTCCGCACTCCACCCGCACACACAGTTTCTTCCTCTTGACCATAGAACAAGACACGCTTCTTCATTATGAGTGTTGTTATTTCCCATATATGGGGTCATATTTGTATAGTAACATATATCATTTATATTTACTCGCTTATGTTGTATATACTTACTGGCGGTTGACTTCTTCGTTGCTTTGGCCTTAGGCATTATGAAAGTTTCTGTTTACAGGTGTGGATAGACGGTTGTTTGCGTTCGAGAGTTTGAGAAGAAAAAAGATACAGGTGGATAGGTGGTAAGTGGAGTATATTGGGTATTTATTGGATGATAGAGGGTGTGTAGATTGGTAATATTATGGGGATATCAGATGTGGTTCGGATGAACAGAAGTGGAATGTGATATTTCAATGTGATGATATGGTATATTATTGGTTTACGTATAATAGTGATGAAGACGAGAGAGCAAGTTTATTATTAAATTGTAACAAACAATAATATATAAAAGGCTCATAATATATACAAGTATCTGGGCTTGCTGTCTCTCACTTTCTTGTTGAACAGTAAGGACTTCTATTTGGTATCTTGTTGCTTTTTTCATCATCAGCGTTTTTGTTATTGTTGTTGTTATTATACTTACTTTCTATTATCACCTCGATGAATGATATATTGCCTGGTTTTTTTTTTTTTAATATCTAAACTACTATTATTTATTTATTTATTTATTTATTTATTATAACACGCATGTCAGTCATTACCGAATACAACTGGCTGACATTACCCCAGTAAACAAGATGTTGCTTCTCGAAAGTGGTGGTGATACTGAAAGTGCTTATCATAATAATTAACCGTATATAATCTTCATCTACTACATCAGCCAACAAGGTTCTCAACCTTAGCTTCCCCCCTCAAATGCTATAAACAACTCCCACAAAAAAAAAATTGACAACGAATTGCAAAAAAAATGTCGAGAAACTTAACCCGTTGACAATGGCGGGTTTATTATATCACTTAATAATTGTCCCTTCTCTTCTTCCATTAATAAAGTAATAAGTAATCAGATAGCATATATTAATATAACACTTACTTGTCACATGACAACATTTATGCATTTGACTATAAACACAACTAAATTTATAAACACTGTTCGATTGCGTAATATATCGACTGGGCAATATATGTTGTATCACGTGACAAACCACATGACGAATAATTATAATTCCATAGTATACTATTATTCCTCATCCACTCATATATGCACTATCCCCCTATTCCATTCATTGACTTGCCATCTTAATTCTTTCATTCAACTTTGTCTTCTTCCACCAAGTGCTTTATTACCATAACCCGACAGTATCATAATTAGACGGTTACACTGTAAGCAACCTGTCATAATCACAATTACTATCTCGAGCAAACTGGGCAATATATCAAATATTTATATAGTGTATGGTGTATGTAATATCACAAGTACGAAGCGATCGTGTGATAATAAATACTATCCAATCACAACAATATTTTTACTTTATCTTAGTATCGCTAATTGACACTGACATTAAAATGCTTATCATTGAACTATTAATACTAGACGGCATTATCAATCTATTAATAACTTTATCATACTAACGTAACTATATGGTTCTTATATATATTGACTTGTACAATAATCATATAATCACTTATTGTCTGACAGTCGAAATAACCCCGTTTTCAGAGTATCCCCTGTACTCTCCAATACGCCATAATAATGGTGAGACATACAAATAAATTTCTCTCACACACAAAACAGTATATAGGGGGAGTCCTATTTGAGGGTGAGCAGAAAAGGTCACCATTGATTGATTGATGTACTCAACAAGGAAGCGCCGCTCCGCTGCAGCAGAGCCCACCCTCTCTGTTTGTTTATACAGGAGAAATTGGGGGTGATACAAATACACCGCCCATATTAATATGCTATAGTAAACAATAGTCTTAATAATTTTCATTATTCGGACTGAAAGCCCATTAATCACGTGGTCGGAAATAAGGTTGGTGACTCCCGAGCTTATTCTTATTACTATTATTACATTTAATATCTATCAAACTAACCGATTCTCTCCAATGCTAGAATCAATTCAACAATTTGTCTCCTACGCAAAGTATTCCACATTATTAGACAATACTACAATCTAAGGGATAATATGTGCTACAGGCCAAGATTATGTAAACCGAAATCCATAAACATGGCAGTTACATTTAGTGCTTTACATCTGTCTCATTGCGAATTCAAGTCGTCTCTTCAATCGTGATCTTCCTCCGTTTCACCTGGACACTCTCTCTCCAGCTCATCCGCATCTTTGTACACCGACCCACAATAAAAGCAATAGTGATGCTTTTCACGCAGGTAATCAAGTATGACGCCGAGTTGGATACGCGTGTCTTCCGGTGATAAGTTCCCATCCGCGACATCATCATGCTTGTCGCTCTCTCTCCCTTTCTCGTTCCCATCTTCATCAGACTCTGCCAGGGTTGACTGATCGTCCGCGGGGTCCGTCTCTGGAGTCCACCAGAGGGGATTTTTCTTATGGTAAAGGAGAGTGAACGTGTTAGAATCATTTCTATGTCGCAGCTCGGTGTATTATTCGTTTAGTATAAGAACAATGTCCATTCCTATGTTCAATCTGGTTGCATACTCATACTCATACTAACATTGTGGATCATGTCTTCCCTTTGGTATGCCGAACAGACTGGTAGGGCCATTGATCACACCAACTGCACAACATTCATCCACTAATATCGAATTAAAGTTTCAAACATACCTCAACACCCTAAAGTGTATTACATACAAAATCAATAGAATCATGAATTAAGTATCCAGTACAATGCATGGTTCGATTACGTATTTCTTCCTCTTCTTCTTCTTAATCACTTACTATCTTCACATCTAAATCTTCACATATCCTCTTGGCCGATTCCAACTGTGCGAACGCCCGCTTCTCTAGTCGTCCTTCTCGTATCCTCGAACGATACTCTTCATCTTCGATCCTAGCTTTCTTAACAGCGCGCTCTACTTCTTCACTCTCACGTTCTCTAATTTCCGTACCCAATCCAAGACCGGATCGACCTTTTGAATAAGAAGCAGTA